CCGATCCGAGGGCCCGGCCGCCCCTCGAGCCTGCTCGGGATGGACTCGCTGGGTCTGGCCCTTGACTAATGTTTAGGGACCAATTGTCATGCAATAGACGCCGCCCTGGGCCAGGATGCCACTGGGCCGCTGTACCTCCGGATTCCCACGTAGGACGCTTCTCTGGACCAGAGCATCCGAAGCCGGGAACTGGCAGGACTCAGAAACTCGTGAATGAGCAGGTTCTTCAGCGTAGTCACTTTGGGTCCGGCGGGCAGTGGAACCCCGAGTGGATGTTACAGGGCCTTAAACGAGCATTCTGCTTTTTTCATCCTCCCCCACGGCTTTTGCTGTTCGATAATCACCCTTCTCCCTTATCGGGGAGATGCCCTAAAGTCATTTTCCCACTTAATTAAAAAGATTGTTGAATTCCTACTGTGCACCAGCATCGTCGGGGTTGCAATACTAAATAGAACGTGGCCCCAGCAGCGCACCAGGACCTGCCCGCCCCAGAATCAAGAATAATGACGGCTTCCCGTTGAGGGTGGTGGACGACTCTGGCGTTTGGCTCTGAGCCTCCTGGTTTGAGAGCTGGAAGTCTTTCAAGATTATCTCACCCCAAACTTCATTTCACAGAGGTGAAACTGAGTCCAATTGAAGTCAAGTGACTTGCCTGAGGTCACCCAGAGTTGTTGTTTAGCAGTTTTTAGATGATCAGATAGGGCTGTTTTCCTTCTGAGCCGGGGTGCCAGACGAACATACCAGGAAAGTTCCAGACTTGTTTAAATGGAGTACGGTATATAGGACCCTTCTGAAGTAAAATCTTTTTTTTTTTTTCTTTTTTCCCTTTTTACAGCTAGACTTTGGGCTCCTTGAGGATTTTCCATTTCCTACTTCTGAGTGTCCTCTCACCATACTCAACATAAAATAACATTCTTAATGATTATCCTCTGCAGGACAGGTAGGCTCTTTGGATTTATTTTTCTTTCTCATTTTCAAATAAGGACTAAAGTCACACAAGACTCTAAATAAAAGTGTGTTTTCAGAAACCCCACCCCTGGGGCGGGGGCGCTGGGATGGGAGTGTGAATTCCTGACATGTGAAGTAGGCGCCAGCATTTAATTGATGATTTACCAATATTACAGCATCAATGCTGGGAACTTCGCTGGAGCCTCAGGACAGAGTTCTTGGTGTCTCTGCCACTTGAAGACAGGCCTCTGAAATGGTAGTCTTAGAAAATGGGGATTGGCAAGTTTCCTTTGAAGCTAGCTTTTAAGTAGTATTCCATAATTTGAGATATAATAGTACTTTTTTCCACTTCTTTTTTACTTTTTCCCCCCACTTTATAATTTTTGTGTGTTCCTGGACTTAATATGTTAAAATGCCACCATTTTTATTTGGCTTCTAGTAGAAGTTGTGAAAGAGAAAACAATTCAAGAACTAATCGTTTTGACTATCAGTATAATCAAATCGTAGGATAGGACTCTAACCCAGGGCAGCCCTTAGAGAGGCCCAGCAAGGCGGGTGGGGGATGGAGTCCTCCAGGCCCCAGACAGGGCTGTTTTTCTCATTCCGTCTGGGTTTCGTTCACTTCCTCTTACCGTCTTATTATGTGTCATCTTTTGATTTTTGTATGAATAGAATTATGACCTTTCGAGGTTCCTTTCTACCGTCAGACCATAGCATGATACGTAGATGCAGACCTCATTTTTTCCACATCATGGTTATTATATTTGTTTGTATTTTGCAGGTGTGAGAGAATTGCTCTTCTATTGCAATCATGGTGCAAAAATACCAGTCGCCAGTCAGGGTGTATAAACACCCCTTCGAGTTGATTATGGCTGTAAGTACTTAGCATTTCACTTTACTCTTTGGCTTCTTATATTTTTTAAGTATTCGGATTTGACGATCTGTAAACTGATGCTTATTTCATTCTTTGTCTCCGTTGCTCCGTTTGTACTCACCCTGTTGTTTTATGCTTACGAACCCTATCTAGATTTTGCGAAATGTTTTTAAACCCCAAGTCTCTGAAAATCTGCATGGTTGTTTTTTTTTTAAAAAAACGCGCCTCAGTATAATGTATGAATTTGTTAATTCTCCTTTTGAAAACAGAGAAGTGGGGTTCTAAGTACTTCTTCCTCTGGATTTTGCTCTTTTTCGTTTGTAAAAGTAGAAAAAGGATGTGGAGGGCGTTTTTCCCCTCTGCTGCTCCTTAGGAAGAGGGCTGTAGTTATGGGCGAGTTCACTTTACTAGACTGAGTGCTTAGGTTGGAGCTTAATATACATTATTCTAATGACTCTGCTGCCTGAGTTTTCCCCCCTGCTATGGAAATCATGAGTCCTGTTAGAATTCCACGAATGGAGTAATGAAAGTCTTAATTTCCTTTGTTATTCACCTGAAGAGTTTGGCTGAAAAGAAGTGTTTTCCTAGATGCAAAACAAAACAAACGCATTCGCAATCACTTTTGGGTTACTGTAGGGTATTCTTTCTTTTTCCTTCTCTTTTGTGTCACTGTTAAGGTATAATTTACATACAGAACATGGTCTCGGTCATGAACAGACACCGTGATGAAAATGTCAAACTGAACCCAGATCTGGAACCAGAACATAACTAGCCCAGTAGGAAGTCCCATTTTGCCCCTCCCCACTCAGAGTTTGCCACTGCTCTTGACTTTGAACACCACGGATGAATGTCATCTGTTTCTGTTCTGTATATAAATTGAAACTCAGGGGTTTTTGCATCTGGCTTCTGCTCTGCATTATTTAAGTTTAATCCAGTTTTGAAAAACAAAACAAAAACTGAAGTTCTCTGAAGGGAACAGTTTAGATTTAGGAAGTTCGTTTTTTTTAAATGGAGATTTAGTTTCCGTAGAGTGAGATGGTCACATGGTAGCTATACATTTGGATCAGTTTTGACAGAAGAATGACCTACATCTCTATCAAGATACACTTATTTTCAGCCAGACTCTTCAGGTAAATAACAAAGAAAATTAAGGCTTTCATTACTCCGTTCATGGAATTCTAATAGGACTCTACGATTTCCATACGTCGTTACCTCAGAGTGTTCCCTTGTTGCCCCTTCTCTGTCAGATGTGAGGTTTTGTCTTTTTAATTCTGCATTCCCCTTAAATACTAGGGCCGTTCAGTATTTTATGTTAGTGGCTTATCGAAAGGCTGCTTCCTGTTTGCATGGTCAGTGCTCTGGTCTGGCTTCTGGCTGTGCAGGGCAGAGGCCCACGCCAGCGAGTTCAACAAGGAGCCTTGTTTGGGAACACGCATGGTGCTAGGAGCCGCGCAGCAGTCCCTGAATGCCAAGGGGACAGCCGGGCCTGCATGAGGGTGGTTCCCGGCAGTGCCGGGGGCCTCAGCAGCAGTTGTCCTGGGAACTTCACCCCGTGGGCCTCTGCCTTCCTCCACGTGCCAGAGCACCCCCACCCCCTCCGCTGGCTGCTTTGTTCACTCTTAGTTTTCTCCCCCCTGTGGTGTCAGCTCAAGTGCTTTTCCTGCTGGCCCCAGTTCAACTTTGTGGCATTTCTTATTGTGTTCTTTCAGTTTCTAAGTGACCAATTCTTATCACATTTCCTAGTTCAGATTCTGGAGAGAGACTTGATCTGGTCATCTTTCTCCTGGACCTAGAATACAGGTGACAGGCCAACCTGTGCATTATTTGCCTGGTGGTGGGGACAGAAAGGCAGCAAGTATGGGGGGTACGCAGGGGGGTGGAGAAGGCACCGTGACTGGCACGCCATGTTTTCCACAATGTTAACTCTAATTTTAAAAGCTTGATGCGACTCTGATAGTTTGAGGAAAGGGATGTGGGTCTCTTCTGCAAATACTAGATTTAATAAAGAAGTGTTTTGATTGTCTACAGTTCAACTTCCTTATTTTTCACACTTTACTATTTTCAAAATGGTAGTTTGTCCTGCGAATTTTATGCATAGATTTACAGAAGAATTTGAAATTCAAATTCAGAACCACCTCGTCTTTTAAGATTAGCTCATTTCAAAATTGCTTTTGTATTGAGGCAGTAGTAATTTTCTTTTGAGTTGTTAGAAAATATTTTTTAATCTGAAAATGAAGTAAAGTTACCTCTTTATTTCCAGAATTAGAAACTAGAATGTTAGTTAAGTCTTTAGTGATTTTTGTGTGGTGTCATTTGTGGCTTTTCTGACTGTTGTTGTATGACATAAAATTTTTAGTAATTTACCTTTGGTTTTTTTTTATCGAGGAAAAAGTTAATAGAGTTACTTTGAAGATGTTCTTTTCAGTTCACTCAGAGTGAGGAAAGAGATACACAGTTAAAGTGAGAACAAGTTGTAGATAGCTTCAGCCAAAGTATTTGTGAGAACCTCGAAAAGTATGCTTCAGTAATCACAGCACGTGGCAGTGGACAGAAGATGGTTTGGCAGTGGCCGGCCTGTGGAACCGACAGGCGTGCCCAAGTCCTAACTTACAGGGCTCCCGTGAGGGGGACAGTTGGAGAAAAGGCCCCTCAGCCAATTTAATGCCCTTGTTTGTTTTAACCAAGAGGTTTTTATAATTTAGTATTGCCAGAAAATCGTTTAGTAGAAAGAGCCCTGTGTAAATAGGTATAAGGTGGGTATCGAATATGTCAATTGCATTGTGATTCCTTTCTCGAAAGATTATCTTTTGTCTTGGGGTCAGTAGGCTGATAGCATTAAGAAGTCATGTTAATATTCTCAGTAATTCATTTGAATGAAACAATGGTAAACAAGCCGAACCGAAGCGGAGGTTTTCCAGCATCATCTGTGGCATTTTAAGGGCGTTCGATATCAGGGCAGAAACATGGATGCTGGGGCTTCAGGGAGGTGAGACATCGCCAACTCAGCCCCCTTCTGGGGGCGAGGAATCTGAGACTCGGGGTAGTGCAGGCTCCCGCAGTTAGCTGAAGAGGTCTGATTCCTGAGTTCACGTTCTTCGTAGCGCACGGTAGCCTCCCCGCCCCCGCCCCGCTCCTACCCCTGTGTATCTGGAATGTTTTATGCAGGTTCTTGTCCTTGAAGACGTCTTTTCAGTTTCAGCCAAAAGCATTTCCTGGGGCTGCTCTGCCTGACTTGTAGGGAGGAGAATTTAATCAGTGAGGGACATTCCAGTCGATTGTGCCTTGAAGGATCTGTGGTCTCACACAGGCTGGTCATGTGATCCCACAGAGGGGATGCTTAGGATAGTGTTTCATTTTGAAGTTTGTAAGGTAAAACACAAATTTGAAAACTTAGACATTTTAAAGTACAGCTTTTCCCATCCTACTGTTAATGGCCCCTGAATAAATGACGTAAAGGAAACAAAGTGTGGAATGAAGCAGAAGCGTGGGGTAGGAAGGCGGATGGAGGAGTGGTCAAGGCATGTGACTGAAGAGGACAGTCCCTCTGGAACGGGATCTGTGCTAACAGCTGCAAAGGAGGGGACGACTTAGCTCTGATCCCTTCTCGCCGAGGACAGCTGTCACTTTGACCAGTGGGAACACGTGAGAGGAGTAACATCCTGCAAGTCAAAACCTCGTCCAGTCCCATTTCTACTTGGGTTTTCCATGATCACAACAAATCGGCCCCATGTTCTCGCTTCTCTTCACCGCCCCACCCCCCAGTTGCCCTGTTCTCTCAGTGCCGTTGTCCCCGAAGCCCCTCCACGTCTGTGTCTCGAGCAGACACAGCCTCTGGATTGCGCCTTCGAGTCATGCATCTCTGTCCTTTTCTCTCCCAGCACCATCATGGGCCCAGCCCAAGCCCTCATCTCTGGACAGAGACCGGCGTTTACTTGTTATTTTCTTACTCACATCTTTCTTCCCTTTAGGTCATCCTGCATTCCACGGCCGGACAGTGTTTCCAGTTGTCAGTTCTCTCTCTGTTTAAGGATCCCTTGCTATGTTACATAGTTCTGAACTGCTTTGAACTGCTTTGTTCTTCTCAGCCCTTCGCGTCCTACCCTCTCTGTGTAACCTTATTTCATATATTATGCAAACTTCCCCACAGGATCGTTTAAATCTACTCTGCCGTCCTGGATTGCTGCTCACAGCGTCTTTTCCTGCCCTCCCCTCCCCCCTTCTTTCGCTCCTTCCTTCCCTGCCTTTGGTAGTCGCCTTTTCCCATCTGCCTCTTAGACTCGGTCTCACTGACCCAGCCACTTCCCTGATGCCTCTAAGGTGCTGTTCTTGCTTCCCTCTGCTCTGACTCCGTAAGTGGGTCAGTGTTGGGCACCGTCCCTGTCCTTCGTTTCTTTTATTCTTGAAGGTTCCCAGGCGATGCTTTCCGAATGTTTTGTGGGTTCCTCAAGGGCGGCGCCTTTGCCGCTGCTCTCGTTCGCTCAGGCACTGGTGCTGAGCACACAGAGGACGCTGGCAGGTGTTCCATCAGCTGGCGTCTGTCTGTCCGTCCTCACCGGCCTGGGGTGTGAGGACTTGGGAAGTAGTTTGGTGGGACCTCGGATCTGCGTGTGTCGTGTTTTCTCCATGGAAGAAGCAATGCGCTGTACCGGCCTGGGGTGTGAGGACTTGGGAAGTAGTTTGATGGGACCTCGGATCTGCGTGTGACTGTCGTGTTTTCTCCATGGAAGAAGCAATGCGCTGCGACCCTCATTGACCAGCGCCTCCCTTAGGAGCAGAGCCCTCTGTGACAAAGTTGGCAGTTATTTTCCATCTTTGGAAATTATACAAAATCCTGTTGACACACACCGTGATAGTAGTTTAAGCAACGTGCTTTTATGGGCCGAATAACCAGAACACCTGTCTGCCCGTGTCCAGTGTCGATCGAGTGGCCGCCACAGCGAAGCGCGCCCTTGTCCTTCGCAGTCCCTCGTTTCATTCTCTGTCCTTTCGGTGCCTTTGCT